TCACGAGCACTGAACGATGAATGCCAGTGTAGACAAAACCCGCACGTTTATGTCCGTTTGATTGTTAACTACCATGGCGATTTAAGCTAGGCATGGGTTGATGTGTAACAGTGAATTTGTTACGAGCCTTTAATGATGTTAATAATATCGCCAACAGTACCTATATATTAAACGTGTACCTAAGAAAATCCCACATTTAACTGGATAAAGCAAATTAGCAAGTTAAATATCAAGAAACTCGATTTCATTGTGATAACTGGTAATACATACTCGTAAGTTATTAATGGAAACAAAATAAACGTTTTCGCGACAAAAACGGTTATATTATAAGTAAGAAAGAATTTTAAAGGTTATCCGGAAAGCCGCATCGTCTGATCCTTATTTGTAAACGACTAGAAGGACTGTTACTGTTATCTCTAGTGACCTGTTAATTGAAGACGAAATTGTCATTGGGTTTCATGCTTTTATTAAAGTATGATGATAAAAATAAATAATATATTTTATACATAAAGTGAATAATGTAATAAGGATAAAAGGCATCTTTTTCTGCGTTCAAATATTTTGTGTTAAATACATGTTCCGTATAATAATCACTCTGATAATATATGCATATACAACTAATATTTTTTTTACGTGGTAGAGCCACGCTGTAGCTATATTAGTAGTATAGTTGTAGCACGAATGGGTCGGCTCTACCGGGATATGAGTAGGACTACATTCTCACAGAATACCAACGTAAAATAGCAGCTTGACGCTGCTGTGTTTCGTATGGTGAATGTAGAGAATCGGAGACCCTTTTTACTGGAAACATGGCATTCCATCTTTGTCTTCACGGCTGACAACACATCTGAATTTTGATTCTTAATCGAGGATAGATGTAGATGTCTATAGGCCACAGCAACCAGATGGACTGTGTGCTCACTTCTCACCCTTATGCTATAAAAAATGCGTAATAGACTTCTGCGCTCCCTTACTTATCGCAATCAATTTTTTTTCATCTTACCCGACTGTCTGAAGAAGGGTAATTTTTTTCGGGTTTATATATGGTATGTAATGCGTAATATTATATATGTGTGCGTGTATATTTATACAACAAATTTCAGACCGTGAATCTGTCAGTGTTTTTGAAATGATTTATTTATATTATGATTTTTATCCGGCTGCTCAAGAAAGAGGATAATTTGGATGTATGTATATCTGTTTCTTTGTGGCTTCCTATGGTCCAAAGTTAAGAACTCTGACGGATTTCGAAGTGCAAGGTACGGTTTCAAATGAAAGGTATCTTATCTTGCTAAATAGAGCACATAAAAGGCTATCTATTTTCACTGTAGTTTTCACAAAAAACATGAAAAATGAAAACACCTTTCCACGGAAGTGACACAATTTCACGGTAGTGACATATTTGTATAATTTTAATAAATTATTAATGATTTATGGACGAAAAAAACGATATTTTTTAATTATTGTCTGTATATAACTAATCAGTTTAGTATTTATTAATTTTAAGTATTAATTAAGTACGTATTTACGCTTAATTAATATTATGCTAATTATATCTATTACTAATAAGTTTTATAGGAACACATGTTGGTTAACAAGATTTTTATTCGGTTCTATGTGGTCACATAAGCAACCTTTTAATAGTAATTAAATTATTATTAATCAACATTATTTAGTTAGCATATAACTTGCAAAACTCTTACAAAATAAAGTAACTGAGACTATTTAAATTATTATAAATGAGAAACCATAATAAAATATTAAAAAGTAGTAACAACTTAATCATTTTTAGAAAAAAATAAAACCAAGCAATGAATCTTATTCATTAGAATAATTTTGGCGAAGATGAGGGAATGAACGTAATAATATTTTTTTAACATTACTTCGACGGCAATGTGATAAAGTAACAGGAATAACTACAATCCGAAACATCGTTTACACTGTGGCCAAACGAACTCCGTGTATTCTTCATCACACTTGTCAACTGGAATCAAACTTGATATAATACTAAAATTTTTGTTTATAGAATTAGGGTGACAAAAGAGCACCCAATTCATCTGATGGTAAGTGGTTGTTGTGGCCCATAGACATCTACATCTATCCTCGATTACGAATCAAAATAGAGATGCGTCGTCACCTCTGAGGACTAAGATGGAATGCCTCTTTTAAAGTAAAAAGGGTCTCCGGTTTTATACACTCACCATACGACACACACACACACACACACACAAACGACACGTACACATCAGCATTAAGCTGCTATTTTACGTTGTCCCAGTACGCCCCAGCCGAGCTAACTCATTCATGCTACAACCAAAACATAGCTGCAGCGTGGCTCTACCACGTAAAAGATTAGAAAATTATAATTCAGTACAGTGACAATTTAACCAGTGTAAACTATGTTTGTGTTTTTGCAGAACAATTTAATCAGTTGCCTTCGATCAATTCCCGAAAAGAAGTTACAGCTGTTATTTGAGTTCTGTCAAATGTGTTGGGTTCTTCAGTTACTATCATAGTATTTTCTTGCAGTTCATGTGGGATATCATGACTGGGGCTAAGAACAGATTCTTCAGTTATTATCACAGTATTTTCTGGCACTCTATGTGGAATGTCATGACTTGAGCCAGGAGGAGATTCTTCAACGATGGTACTTCGTGTATATGACTTTCCTATTCCATTATGAGATCAATTTCTATCACATTTTGCACAGCTAAGTCGTCTTAAAAGCATTAAGTCTAGTTTTGTTTTGGTATGATGTAGTACTTACTACAACTACTTGATGAATCAAGTATTCTAGGCGAGTAATTTTCTGACACTGATGGAGATAGGTCTCTGTAAGTTGACGAAATACGGCTTCAGACAGAACGAGATCATCTACTTAAGGCCGGAAGAGAATGTATGCTTGAAATATTAGGAAAATGCCTAATGTTTAAATGTCTAACTGAAACTGGATCATTTTCAACATCACTTTAAGGCGATCATCACGCAAACTCGATAGAAATCTTTCCCTGCATTTTCCATTTATTCTACAATTTTTTTGCCTCTTACGCCATTCTTTTTCTGTTTTTTTTTTGTTTTCTTTCTGACATTTGAACAATAGATATAATTTTATTTTAGATTTCTATAACGTTTTCTTTCTGTAGCTTTAGCCTGTTCGTACAACTGTGGATTGGACTTTGTTTTTCGGACGTCGCCTCTTGCATTCTTTTGTCTTGTGATTGATCTGTTCCTGATGTTTTTGCTATAATTACCCTGGATCAAGAAATATTTACATACTACAATTAATCACATTGATAATTTTTAAATTACCAAAGAGCGATCACAGTACTGTCACATCCATGGACGTTAAGTCACCTCCGTGGATAACTGTAATCCACGTAGGTGACATCCATGGAAGTGAGATTTTAAACTTCGATACCGTTTTTTCGTAATCTCAAATGCTGATTACTAAAAATAACGAAATACCAAGATAACGGCTATAGTGGCCCATCATTTTACGATATTCGATAGACCTTAATTAAATTAATACTTTATGATAAGTAATCCACAAAAGTGACTGAAATAGCTTGCTAATTTAAAAAAAACATACTTTATAGGTCTTTACTCCAAAATTATTATCTCAGCACAGACAAACTGTCAAAAATTTTCAAGATGGCGTTGAATTTGTTGTCTGTATTCGTTCAGGAACTGTATTTACCGATCTATTGAATTGTGGCTGCGTTCAGTGACTTTATCCATGGAGGTGATAATTTTTCCATGCACAAAAGTTATGAAATATTTGGAATCATTTATTTAATTTGTGTTTTAATTATTTTGTGTTTTTTAGAAAGATTTCTCCATGTTTTATTGTAAAAAAAAATGAAATAATTAATTTATTATTGATATATATATTTTATGTTAGCCTATAGTATCATAAACTGATTTTGCACACGACATGGAGGTGACATTTTCGTCACTTTCTTAATGATGATTAAAAAAATATTTATGTTATTTAAGTTTTAATATTACCTACTTCAATTAATTGTAGATAGGTATTCTAGAAATAATACAAGTATTTCATTTTTTAATACAATTGCACAAAAAAAATTTGCAAATATGAGTATGGCCTATATAAGTATTTTCATTTTCTAAACTATTAATTGACTTATCAGTAATATTTATAACAATGGTTTATTTATTTTCATATTATAAAAGTATTTGGATTGTATAATTCTTACACATTCGAACTGTTGCTAGGTTTAGTTTGGATAGGTTATAGCGGTAGCTATCACCATTGTGTGATATTTTTTAAACAATTGCAATAATCATTGAGGTGCTTTTCGTGCTGTAAAATTAGTAAAGGAAACAACTAACAATCAGGCGTATTATTATTCCTTTCTGCGGCTCCAGTAATACGTAGCTGGTGTCGTTATACACGTTACATTCGCTTGCAATAGTCGTTGGAATCTATTAGGGTAAGTCCGGGGGAGTTGGCCGTAAGGAAGAGTTAGCCACTAAAAAAAAATCATAGTTACACTTACTAGATGGCACTACTTTCTCGTTAGTTCAATTTGTGCTGTGCGTGGGAACGACATTTCGCTCCATCTCCGGTGAAAAAAATCGAAAAAGTAAGTAAAATGTACCTACATTTATTTGTATATAGCCTAAAGTTTTCAAAGGGTTTACGTTATACAGTGTGGTGAAAAGACATCATAAAAAGTAAGTGCTTTTTTTAAGTTAAGTGCTCAGTTAATGACCCACACTTTAACATAACCTCAAAATGGCGCGTGGGTTGTTTATATTTTTCTACAAATAATGTGTGGCCATCTATCCCGGCTGATTAGGAGAGATGGCCATACATAATCGGTATGAGATGACCATAAGGCCATCTCACACCTACCATATATGTAATGCGTAATGGTGAAAGTTATATTATTATAACTTGATATATTTTTCTTTATTTATGGTGCTGTTATACTTATTTGGTTTTAGTATTTCATATCACAATATTTTATTTTTAGATGCCAAATAAATACCAAAGAAAAGCATGCAGCTCACGAGGGAACTGGAGTGAAGAGTCACTTAAGGCGGCCATGGATGCTGTTAAAAAAGGTGAAATGACTATCTACGCAGCTTCAATAACCTATCAAGTACCAAGGAAGACCCTCGAAAGGCGATACAAGAAAAATAATGACAAAAAAGGACCAATGGGACCATCCTCTATATTCGGCGAAAAAAATGAGAAGAAACTCGCTAACCATATTAAAACTATGCAAAAAAATGGTTTCCCATTGACTATTGATGACGTCAGAAAGATTGCGTACCAGTTCGCGAAGCAATTGAATTTGAATCACAGATTTAATAGAGAAACTGAGAAAGCAGGATATGACTGGTTGCAAGGTTTTTTACGAAGAAACCACGATATTACATTAAGAAAGTCAGAAGGAGTATCTTTAGCTAGATCAACTGCTATGAATAAACTAGAGGTTGACGCTTACTTTGAGCTTCTTGAAAGGATATTGACAGTAGACGATGGTGTGTTGAAACCGAGTTGTATCTTCAACATGGACGAGACTGGTCTTCAGCTTAATAATCGACCAGGGCATGTTCTAGCTGAAAAGGGTTCTAAGGCTGTATCTACAGTTACTTCGACTGAAAAGGGAGAAACGATTACAGTTATAGCCTGCTGCAATGCTGAAGGTACATTTTTACCACCTGCCTGTATCATGAAAGGCAAAAACAAAAAACCTGAGTTTGAGGATGGGATGCCACCGGGATCGAAACTTTTCATGTCCCCAAAATCAGCGTACATTACCTCAGATTTATTTATTGAATGGTTGAAAACACATTTTGTTCCGAGGAAACCAGCTGGAAGAGTACTTCTTTTACTAGATGGTCATTCAACTCACTGTAATTCTGTGGAAATGCTGGAATATGCAAATGACAATGACATCAACTTACTTTCAATGCCAAGCCACACGTCTCACTACCTCCAACCACTAGATCGTACGGTGTTTAAATCACTGAAGACTCATTTTTACGAGCAGTGTCGACTTTGGCTAAAACAAAATCCTGGTCGTCGTATAACACGATTATCATTTGGAAGATTGCTTAATAAGGCGTGGGGAAAGGCAGCTTCTGCAGAGAATGCAATTGCGGGTTTTAAAGCTACAGGTGTCCACCCCTTCAATCCATCTGCAATTCCCGACTACGCGTTTACCCAAGAATTGACAAAGCAAATGTCTAAATCTCAAAATGAGTGTACAGCCACTGTTATGGTCGAGGAGCAAGAAGAAAATACTTGTAACATAGCTTCTGCTAATCTGGAACCAGTTCCAAATACTTTCGAAGTGCGACAAGACATATCACTTGCAATCGCTGAGCCAAATAGCTCTGTTGAGCGAAAAGTTTTAAACGCAAGTCCTGAGATGATTACAAGAAGGCCTAAAAAATTATTTGCTACTGCTTCAGCAGCAGTAATTAAAAAAATGTCAGAACAATTCCCTCCAAGAAGCGATTTGCCAGATCAGACTCCAACACGTATTTTAAAGCAAATATCGCCAGTTCCACAAAAAATTATTGAAGTACGCAAACGTGCTAAACAGGTAGGCATGCTTTTAACCTCAGAGAATCACATCAAAACAAGAAAATTTAAGGAAGCGCTTAAAAAAAATAGGGAACAAAAAAATTTCGAAAAAGACGTTAAAAAGGAAAGAAAAATTGAGATAAAACCAATAAAACGAGCACCAAGAAAGAGAAAATCATTAAGAAAGTTATCTGAAAGTAGTGATGAGGATGAAGAACTAATATTATGTAATTCGTCTGATGAAGAAGATGGAAACAGAGAATTGGATAACTGTGTAGGTTGTGGAGAAAATTATTACGAAACGCAACTCATCGAAGATTGGATTCAATGCGTTATATGCCAACTGTGGGTACATGAAAATTGCACCGAATTCGATGATAAGTGTTCATCATGTGGACAGAAAAAGAAGAATGAGCTGAGGCTCAAAAACTTAAAGGGAAAAAGTGATTAAAATGTAGATTAACAAACTGGCCATCTCTCCCTTGCTTCTATGGCCATCTCTACCGGGCACTACGGGAGAGATGGCCAATCGTGATTTGAAAAAAAAGTAAATTATGAGACTGATTATGTTAAAATGACAAAAAAATGTTGTGATTTTCTTAGAGTTTAATGTCGAAAGTTTAATAAAAAGTTGATTTTTGTTAATTAATCCTTGTAGTTTTTATTTTAGTGACTTCTTTAAAAACTATGGCCAACTCCCCCGGACTTACCCTATATTGCTAACTAGCGATCTGCCCCGGCTTCGCATAGATGGTCTCTGGATCTCGACAACAGCGCCACCTACCGGGTCTAATTGTGAATCTAAACCATCCAGGGACCACAGACACACACAAAAACTTCCATCAAAATCGGTCCAGCCAGTCGAGTTTTAGCGACACTAACAGACAGCAATTGATTTTTATATAACAGAGATAATAATAATAACAACACAACGCTCGCAAAACATAATACTTCCTTAAAGCGCATTCTGACGAACGTGACATTTTGTTGTTTTTGTTTGATAAAAGACCCAATTCAGGTGAGTTCGTTATTTTTGCAGAAAAACGGGTACATAATCCGCTTTATAGTAAACAATCACTATAATCCATAGATATCTTATATACATCAGTAATGTATAATGAAGATAAAAGGGCATTGTTATCGCTAATGGCTAATCTATACATCTATCTTTACATATAAATAAAATTGAAGTGTCTGTCTGTAATATCGGAATAACTGCATTTTATTAAATTTATTAAGCCCAGGGGGTTATTTGCACGCCATTAAAATTGTTGTCTCTGTCCGGGCTAATCTTCGAAATGGCTGAACCGATTTCTTCTTTTTTTTATAGGATAAGAGTGACAAACGAGCACACAGTCCACCTGATGGTAAGTGGTTGCTGTGGCCCATAGACATCTACATCTTTCCTCGATTACAAATCTAAATGTAGATGCGTTTTCACCCGTGAGGATTAAAATGAAATGACTCGTTTCCATTAAAAAAGGTTTCCGGTTCTCTACACTCACCATAAGAAACACAGCAGCGTTAAGCTGCTATTTTACGCTGGTATTCTGTGAGAGCGTGGTCCCTCCCCAGTCGAGCCGACCCATTCAATTTGTGCTACAACTACAGCATGGCTCTAACACGTAAAAAAATGAAACTTGACAAATAGATAGAGAGAAATGCCAGGAGTGATCTAGGCTATATCTTTTACCGACTTCAAAAAGGGGACGGTACTCAATTCGACTGTATATTTTTTTTTCCTTTTTTATATATGTTACCTCGTAACTTTTTTCTGGGTGAACCGATTTCGATTATTCTTTTTTAATTTGAAAGCTGGTACTTACTTCTCATGTGGTCCCAAATAAATTTGATCAAAGTTTGACCAATAGTTTTTGAGTTATTCTTAATAATTGATATTGAAGTCGGTTGTACAACATTTTTAATTTTAAATTATATCGGACAAACTTGAAGATTTTTTTTTTGAGAAAATTAAATATTTATAAAATATATGGTCGATCTTTGATGATTATCTTAAACTTAAATTACGCCACTTTAATAGATCCTACCCAGGCGAAGCCTCAGCGGGTGGCTAGTATACAATAACTTCACTCGAAATTGCGTCTACAACTCTTGTCATTTAACATGAGAAAACATCGCTGATACGTAATGTTCAGCGCAAGCTGGAGTAGCCAGCAGAGAATATTACATTTATCAATGCATATTCCACTCTATTTCGATTGAAATAACGTATAAACTTGAATGTTCCGAGACCAACCCCAGTGTATTGCAGCGGCTTTCTCCACGCTACAGACACCGCTGTGGAGCGTCGGAGTCCGCCAGTATATGAAGTCCGACGCTATGAACCGGATTCGGTCAGAATGCGTCAGCGGCAAACGCGAGGAGAGAAAAATTCTTCTTCTATGTACCTATTCATGTGCCTGTGCTTCTTCGTCTGCGAAAATTGATATTAAAACCAAATCCCAAATCGCTATTATGAAACCTTCAGCAAAAATAACTTGACAAAAACAACAACTTCAAAGTTACTAGTGGAACGGAATTAAATCCGAGCGGTCCCGGCGGATGCCGCGACGTTCTAACGGACGCTGTGGTACGCTGGCAGTCGCTCGCGGTATCATAAAAGATTTTACTCATCAGTGTGCAATCATGGTGTGCAACACTAGAGCGACTTTAGATGCTCTCCTCCGCCATCCACCGATTTGACCTTGCTCTTACGGTAAGTTCACTTTTCACACTGAGAATAAAAGTCGCCTGCCTGTCCCTTTAAGTGTGTAGCGAGGCTGAACGTTAGGCGTGCGACAAACAAATCAATTGGCCGCTTCTCCGGACACTACCTCAGCACGCCGTGCGTTTTACGCTGTTATTTTCTGCAGACTTCCAAAAAGGAGACGGTACTCAATCCGACTGTACGTTTTTTTTTATGTGTGTTACCTCATAACTTTTTACTGGGTGAACCGATTTCGATGATTCTTCTTTTATTTGAAAGCTGGTACTTGTCATGTGGTCCCATATGAATTTGATCAAGGTCAGACCAATAGTTTTTGAGTTATATTTAATAACTTATATTGGAGTCGGCTGTACAAAATTTTTAATTTTAAATTATCTGATAGTGTTATCCTTCCCCAAATTAGGATTTGATCACGATACCAAACACCAAACCAACCACCTAATAAAATTAAAATATAATTTATCAATAATAATAAGAGAAACAAGGATAAAGATGTGCGTTGAAAAAATACCAGCTCCAATTGCGATTCGAATCCAGAAAGAAGAACAAGACTAAACAGTCCGTAAATAGAGTCAGTTAAGTGTTATCTTCTAAGATAATACATCACAAGGAATACATCAATGACGTTCTTTCATTTATTTATCAAAATAAGTCCTTCATGATGAGTAGTAATATGACGATAAAATTAATGCGGAAAATTCCTTTGATAAGTAGCGACAAGTAAAACGATATTGCGAGATTGCGTTTTTATTCGTAAAAAACATATGTTATCAAATGAAACGATGTTATTTTGGCGGTGACTACAGCAAATTGTATATCTCATATCTCTCAATTTTTCCTAGCATCAGTTTATTGCTTTCTAATATGTGGATTTAGATTACCGACGCCAGTAATTGATTTTGAATTAGTTAAGATACTGTAAGATTAAAATTATACTTTTTACTAGTTACGAGTGACAGGGGTGACAACGCATCTACATTTTAATTCTTAACCGAGGATTGTATGTAGGTGTCTATGGGTGACAGCATCCACTCACCATTAACTAGACTCTGTGCTCATTTGTCACTGTTATTTAAAAAAGAATTATTCTTTTTTTTAAGTATAGATACCTAAACGGAAACACATCTACGTAGCGTAAACAAAACTTTTTCCGCTCTGAACGAAGCAAAAGTTCAAACAATGTACATAGCGATAACAGCTTTACCGAACCAGTGATAAAAGTAAAAAATTACTTTCAATAAGAATTACATGTAATCTATATTGAATAAAAATGGTCCTATTATATTCTAATGCCTATAAAATCTGTCCTCAAGAGAATAGCTTCCCTGACACATAAAACGCTGAATAATCGCAAAGCAAATCGGCCATCTCACTGATGTCTTCGCACCCGCCTCTAATCATTTGTCATCGCCCTCAGATGGGATAACTTTTTGCACGGGCCGCTGACTTCATCCCGACTTTTGTAAAGAACTTGAGCTACACCGCAAGCGTTAATGCGTCGCCTAACTTTGGTTTGGTTAGCTCTAGATTTTCTTTTACATTGAAAGACATATTGGGTAATGAGCAAATTTTTCTTTATGTCAAAAACATGGAGAAATTAAATATATGGTTAGAATTAATTTATTGTTCAAAAATTGATGCATTATGTCTTAGCACCGACTTCAGAATGTGAAATTATTATTTTATTATTTTTAATTTTTTGAAGTCGGCTTTTGCTTTTAATTAAAAGTTTGCCGAGTGGACTAAAGAATATCACAATCTCAATGTCATCTAAATAAATAAATAAATAAATTAGATGTGAATATAGATACATATAACTCGCTATTGACCTAGTATTGTAGGTACCTCATTAGTAGATGTGCGCAAGTTAGAATCCCTAAGAAAATATTTGCGCAAGAATCTGTATTCGACTCTACAACCAGTTCGTTCCTTCTTAATTTTTTGATACAACACGGCAGAGTGAAGAAAACGTCCTAATGTTTGCACTTTTATTCATCATCATCATCATTACAGCCCTTCACAAGTCCACTGCTGAACATAGGCCTCCCCCAAAGAATGCCACAAAGCACGGTCCTGAGCCACCTGCATCCATCGACTTCCTGCATGTCTTACCAGGTCGTCACTCCATCTCGTGGAGGGACGCCCTACACTTCGCCTACCGGTACGAGGCTTTAATAATATATAAACAACACTTATTCCATAACATAATATTTCGCACGGAAGTCAAAGCCGATATAGTATAATATAATCATCACTTTTTTTTCTCCAGAGAACAAAGTAAGAAAAATGTACAAGTTCAGAGACAAAGTTTAAAACAAAATAATTTTCCTTAAACAAAGAAAACGAAATATTAGAAAGTCCCTTGTGTATATCGACAGAAGTTGTAGACGTTGAACCTTATTTGCTTAAAGTAGTGAAACATACAAGTACGCGTATCTACTACATACGGCATAAAGACCTTTTTTATCACCATATTGTAAGCGTACGTTATCACTTATCAGCATACATACACATACAATCACGCCGGTTTAAAATTTTGCTCGCAGCCAACCTCAGGTTGCATAACTGTCGTCACGCCTTCCTTATTGGTATTTACATCATAGATTTAGATATAAATCCTATAGTCGTTTCTGACATACAATCTTTAGTATATATTGAATTGTAATAAAGACAAGAGAAGGTAACCTACTTTGGGCTCCTGTCTCCCACAACAACTAATAATGCTATAGCCATGTAAGTTATAAATGTAACCAGAGTATGTGTTTGTATGTGGGTGAGATAAATGTTTCTATTACTATTATAAGTTG